CACTGGAAATACAAACAAACATAGCTTCAACTAAATCAGATGAAATCAAGATCCAGTGACGAAGAATCAACAAAAATCGAGTGATAATCCGGCGAAACTTTTTTTCACTAGAGATGGAGTCAAGGTTGTTGAGCAAAACAAGACGGAGTTGCAAAAAAATTGATGCCAGAGTTTAAAAAGCAAAGATGCCGAAGAAGCGGTGGTGGCGATAAGATAGGAGAAGTTAGACATGGTGGTACATTTTTTTTCCCTTCTCCTTCTTTCACCAGAGTTCGTTCATAACTACTTAACAACTTTTTGTAAAGAGTACTTTTCTCATTAATCATCAAAATGTACTGTACACAAATATATATACATGTGTATAGGAAGTAATTAGACTTAAGCTAAAGGAGACTTAAGGCTAACTAATTCCAACTATATCAATATATTAATACTATTCAGTTTCGTCGTCGTTCACATATTTTCGGTCGAGTTAGTCTTCAGAGTTAGCGGAAGAAGAATCAAATGATATGTATTTATGTTGTATTTAAGAATTTATAATTAGCCGTCTAAATTCATTGTTGTTATGCTAACATATACAATAGCGGATAAMAATTTATTTATCGGTATTATGTATAGTTAGATGTTTAACGATGGATTATATGTATTACTTTGAAAAAAAAGTGTACTTGTTAATTCATTGTTAGAATGCTAATATTTGTGATTGAGGTTAACAAGTTATTTATCGGTAATATTCATTGTTAGATGTTTAGAGAGTGAACATATCTCTACTCTATTTATTAYTTAKGAAAAYGAGTTGGCTCGCTAACGCTTATTGTGTATAAATGGTCTCGCAACAACGTGAAACCTCTAAAATTATTCCATTTACTTGGGTAAAGATGATAAATTGTTATCTAGTTAACGTATGATAATATGATTAGCGCGATAACAAAAATATATATGTTAACCGGACTATATCCATGTTCTCGTCAAATATAATAGTTATCTAGCTAACGTATGATATTCTTGTCTAATAAAATTGTTAATTGTGTACAAAGTGCTTATATCATCTAATAGTAGTACATTGACTTTTGGGATACATTTATGTTATCATCTAATATAATTGTTATCTCTCTAAAGAGAGATGTTCTTGCCTAATGAAGAACATGACCCTTGCTAGCTTGGCTTCTCTTCTCTCTCCTTTGACAAACAGTTTCTGGTTTTGACTCACTGAGTCACCATAATCCATACCAGTTCTTTGCCAAAGGCGATCATTGTATCTGACAACTCCGATTTCTCCTCCATTTGGATATGCATCGTTGAGAAATGAAGTGTAAGAACCCATTTATAACTGGAAAAACCACCGTCATCTTACCGTTTCACCGGCTAAATTTTTGGACACGATCTTTGTGGATGCGCAAAGAATGCATTGGAGCCTTAATCACTCTCTCGTGACGGCGATTACGTCAATTTCAAACTCCATTTTCTCTTAACTCGTTGTTGTATTTGTTGAATCCGAACTCTGTTTTTTCTCTTTTCTCTCTTACCTATAGGCGATAACATTCACCCAGGAAACTGATCTGACTCCATATGCAAAAACACACAGATATGAGTTTGTCGTCGATTGGACTTTCTAAAACTTACCCAGATCTCGCCGGCAAGAAACTAATCCAAATTTTGTTGACTCCTAACTTCCGCTTCCTCTTTCCTCAAAAATCGATGAAAACCCCAACATCCACCTTTCTCTTTCCTCCACCATATTTCAAATTTATATTTATTATTTTTGCTATAATACTCAAATCTATACGCCCTCCCCATATATATCCTACCTTGTGTGTATTACTCTGACACAACATTGGTAAATGAATCTACACAAATAGCCTTCCATAGGGTTTTAACTGGGATTTAGAAAATTATACAGTGTTTCGAATAGTGTGGTTATTTCGCCAATTTTCCTATAATTCTTTGTCGTAGAGAGCAAATTCTCTTTATCATTTACTAGTTTAAATTAAATTGAGAGGATGGAAAGTAAGCATCAAATAGTACTAACCAAGGTTGGGTTGGTGGAAGTCTCTAATTTTTATAGGTTTAGACTTTTTCTTTTTTTTTTCACTGAAAATATAATATATTAGAACAAAGCTGAGTTACAACAAGGTTTAGACTTTTTAGTTTTATGAAAAATGAACAACAATTGAAAAGCAGTGAAAAGCAAAACACAAAAACCACAATAATTTAGATTCAAATACAGAGTTACATACAGTATATTATTATACAACAACACACGAGACAATACCGTCGTCTCTCTAATGCCTCTTTATGTACACAATATATTAC